AAACCTAATTATGCCCAAACTGACTTCCAACCCAAGATTTGATCTTTTAGTCTGATAAACCTTATTCCTTTAAGGTCCAAATTCCAAATCCAGAACCTCGAGACTTCTCTTGGTCCAACAAAGTTTGTTATTCTGAAATAAGATACATCCCGAAGTTGGGTGTTACATTCCTTGTTACTAATAAAAAAACAAAGATAACAAATCCGCATAAGTCAATTTTGAGTTTGAACCGAGATGTAGGATGGCCATTTATTGAAACTAATGCTATAGAGAATTAAGGTAGACTCTAATCGATGACCTCCACTTCGTCCCAAAACCCAAGTTTGAAAGAGTGTTAAGGATTCCCTTGTACCAACCTATAACGAATAACTTCATTAATCACTAAAGGAATGTTAAGGATTCTCCATGATATATTATCCCTATCTAGTCTTCACACTTGGATCGCCACATATATTTCTATGTAGGAGCGTCCCGTTGATTTTGAGAGTCATGTGCAAAAAAAGGACCCCTAAATATAACGTTTTTATTAATATATAAGCGAAATTCATTAATATTACGATAAATTGATAAATGTTATAAAACAATCAAAGCAAAAGAACGATAATACGATATATAATCATACATAGTAAAATGAATTGTGAGGTTCTTCTAGCATTTTTTGAAACAGAGTTGCTCACCTTCATAATCAATACTCTCTAATATATTGTTCTTAGTAGTTATCATTGTAATTGTTTTGATTCTAGGTGGAAACTTGAGGGGTTTTTTTGGATAAACCTATCTAGAACTCCACTTTGAGACTCTTAAATCTTCATTATATATATATATATATATATATATATATATATATATATATATATATATATATATATATATATATATATATATATATATATATATATAAACACACGTGTTTTTCACTACCCGATAGATTCTTAAAAGTCATAATTTCTAAAAATTATATATGATATGACATCAACAACAATGTCAAAGTTATAAATGTTGTTATCATCAACTAAGGCTGTGTTTGGTGCGCCACAGTTAGTTGATAAGCTAGCTTATTTTTCGAGATCTTTTTTTTTTTTTTTTTTTTTAATTTTGTCGTATTTGGTAAGCCAAAAAGTAACTTATAAGCTAGCTTTTTGAAAAACTACTTAAACTAGCTTTTTAGGAGATTAAAAAAAATTCAAATACACTAGTTAATTAATTATAGAAACATACTCTTACATGTCCTTTTATGTAATTTTATATATTTTAGTTAGTTTTCAGCTAGTTTATCAAACATCGTTTTTTATTAGCTAGCTTTTCAGTTATGAGCTAACTTTTTATTTAACAGATAGCTTTTCAGCTAACAATTACATTTTCAGCTAGTACCACAAACATAGCCTAAGTAAATACCATAAAATATAAACATAATTATAGAAACCAAGGGAACTAGCAATTAAGAAAATTAATAAATTCATTCAAAATAAAATCATTGCTCGATTGCGTGGTTCAAAAATCCAGTCATATAATCCTGAACTTTTTTCTATTTTTTTTCCTTGCATCTAGCTAGTAATTTTTATTTAAAGTTTATGCTGTTAAAAAATCAAATCATTCTAAATATAAATTAAATTTTGTAATGGACTAATGTAAAGTAATAAGTTTAGTCATTTTAGATAATGTGTGTTAATATGTTATGTTCATTAAGTAGCGACAACAATATGGATATAAAAATGAGCGGTCGTAAGATTCAGAAATTACAAATAATTGAATACTTATTTAATTTCATTTGACAATCAAATCAAGAGCGGAAGTGCAATAATAAATGAGAGACGGAGTCCATAGCAATTTGAAAACCAATAAACAAGAAATGTCATTTAAGCTTTGCAGTTGATGCAAATTTGGAATTTTGAAAATGGAATGTGAGCTCTTGCTTGCCACAAATCTACATTAGCACATCATTAGTCCAAATACAATTTTTAATTGTAAGCCCAAGATTTAAAATGTGAGCTATTGCCATTTTTAATTTTAACATGAGCTTTTGGAATTGGAACAAAACAATGACTTTTGCCTTTGGATTGCCGAATTGTATGTTATCGGACAATGAACTGAATCATATGTAAAATTTCTTCCACCTTCCACACCCTCAAAGACATCCCTGTTTCTATGTTGAATTGCTTATGTTTTACGATTAAAAAAAAAAAAACACACACACACACACAACTAGGTCACTTTGTATTGTGTACAATATATACATTAATTTTGGGTTTGGTATAGATCTACGATCATCAACATTAATGATTGTATCATGTACAGCAAATGTGCGAACAAAACCGTCTTAACTCTTAAAGGATGTGTGTTTATGGTGTATAACTGTAAATGTATATAGGTGCTGATTTAGATATTTTTATTGGACAATCTCTTTACACTAAAATCATAAGAAAACAAATAATTTTTTTTGAAGCTAAGTAGGAAGAGGAACATGGGCTACGGGATAAGGCTAAGGCCGTGGGCGGTGGTGGTCCAGTAATGTGTTCGTCGGACCATAAATCATCTTGAAGTTTTTTTTGGAAAGCAACACCAAAAACTTAAATGTGTCTAATGACTTGTATCAAAAATTCTAATAACTACAATGGGCTACTCTCTAATGAGAGTCTCTTTAATTATATTTTCGACTTACAATTATTTATTTAATTGCTTTTGTTTGTTATTTAATATTTATATGAAAGTAAAATACAAAAAAAAAAAGAATAATAATAAATAAATAAATAAAAACATCAGAAAAAGAAACTTTTAAAATTATTTTTAAAGTAAATTACTGAAATTGTCTCTGTGGTCTGATTTTGTTGCATTTTTCGTTCATTACATACATAAAATTAGGGGTCAAACATGCATTTTTTACTAAACCATAGGGACGAAAAACACAAAAAAATCAAACTATAGGGACGAAAAACACAATAAAATCAAACCACGGGAACGATCCGAGTGCAAAAAAAAAGTGAGAGACCAAACGTACAATTTTGACCAAACTATAGAAACGATTTTAATAATTTACTCTAATTTTTATATACAACTATTTTTATATTGAAAAGGACATGTCCCAAGAATGGGTCCACCTGTGTATCTATAATATGAGTAATATGTGTAATTGTGTATATACGTCATAAGTTTGTATGTGATCTGTGAATGTACGATATATATATATATATATATATATATATATATATATATATATATATATATATATATATATATATATATATATTATATATATATATATATATATATATATATATATATCTTCTCTACTAATAAAACAGTACTGAAAACGCCACTTAGCAGTCCCTTAGCCTCTCCACCTTACGTTTTCCCGCTCATATATTATAAGTGAAGTTCCCACTTTGCCCTTCTGTTCGAAAACATTTTCTACATCAGCAAACATGAATTATGAATAAGTAAATATGTAAATCAGGAAATTTAAAATTGATTTCTGTCGAATATGCAATATCCATCCCAAAAAATCAGCTAATCAATTTAAATTCCATTATCAGCTAATCAATTTAAATTCCATATAGTGTCAATCCCTAAAAATCAGGCAATCAGTTTACGCATAGATGATATATTTCAATACAACTTGAGAAGTCAATACGATTCCTGTTAACGTGATTTATTCAATACGATTTCAGAGATCACATATTTATCGTTAGGTTACATTTCAGAGGTGACATATTCATCATCAGGTCAGCAAAACTACACTGTTCTTTACCTTTTTTGTTTCATCAGTTTTATATTTTGTTTTTTTCCCTGTTATGTATAAGAGAAAAGTTTTTGATACATATGTTTACAAGTAAAAAAAACATTGATTCTTTAGTGTAAAAGATAAAAATCGCATAATCATGTTCACAAGTACAAAAAACATTGATTCTTTAGTGTAAAAAAAGGGAAACACGTGTTATATTTTATAAAAAAAATGATCTTAATGTTATGTTAACATCATGTGAAAAGTAGATGTCAGTAGTTTTCTATTCAAGTTTTAAAATCATCAGTTTTCTCACAAATACTTTAATAATAATCAAAATCAGTTTTCTCACAAATACTTTAAGAATACAGACAGGTAGGTAATTAGAACAAATATATGTTTTCTTTATACATTATTAGTAAAATGGCAATTTACTTTCTTTTTGGCGAATTTTTTTATAATCTAAACAATAAATTTTAGAGTTCAAATAATTGTTTCCCCTTACTTACCCTAATTAACTTAAACACATGATAAGAATGGATTTTTGTATCCATCAAAATCAAATAAATGGCAACGTACTACCTTTTTGGTTGATGTATGTATTTTTACTGTTTCCACTTAATTGTTGTTTCTTTTTGACTGTTTGGTTTTTTAATATAACTTTTTTTTATTTTCATTGCATATTATAAGTGTCAATTAAATAGCAATGTACTTTCTTCTTGGCTGTTTGATTGTTTTTTCCCTGTTATGTATAAGAGAAAAGTTTTTGACACATATGTTAACAAGTAAAAAAAACATTAATTAGAACAAATATATGTTTTATTTTTGGGATATCAGTTAAATAGCAATGTGCTTTCTTTTTGGCTGTTTGATTTTTTTTATTTTTTTTAATTTTTTATTGGTTGATGATTATAAATTTCAAATTCAATGTAAACAATAAATTTAAAACGTCCATAGTATATGTTTTCTTTTTATATGCTAGAAATGCCTAAAATGTCCCTCCCACTCAGTTAAATGGCAATGTACTTTCTTTTTGGCTATTTGAATTTTTTTTAATCTAAACAATAAATTTTAAAGTTCAATTAACTGTTTCCCCTTACTTACCCCTAATTAAGTTAAACACATGATAACAATGGATTTTAACTTGGCATCAGTTTGGATTTTTTTCAAAAGGTGTTTACAATTGTGTTGGCCTAAAACTTGGCATTATATATTTTACATACAAATTTTCTAATGATATTTATTTACATTTTAGCTTGGCAACAATTTGGAATTGTATCCAATGGAGTTGAAAGTTGTGTTGGACAGAAAGTTGGCAATTAAGATTGATATCACACGTTACAATGTCGATAATAAAAGTAATCTTTATGGGATATCAAGATTAACCGAGAATGCAGACATAATTGATGAATTGGAAAAAAATAATCTTACTCCACAGGTTTTTTTCAACAATTATATTTTGTTTTTTAACACATTGACCCAACAATATCTGACTCAATATCATTTGTTTTCATCTTGTGATGCAGCCTGCTAATTCTGATTCATTCTTGATTGGTTATTCAGATGTTGGTTCTCATGACACCAAAGTTCTCAAGGTTTTAGTTTTTAAAATATATTTCTCAAATATTTTGTTTTAATTTATAACAACTAACTAAATATTTTTTTAGGATTCTTTTTCACAGACCGGTGAAAATTTAACTCCATGTGCTAGGGACAAGTCAACTGCAACAAGTCCTATAAAATTCATTTCTACACCAATTGAGTTGAAAAGAAACCTTGCTACATGCATAGATATTGATGAAATGGAGAATTTGTCTACTTCTAAAAATCCTAGACTGTCACCACCAGATGAACAACCAACTCCTCTTTTGGTACCCAAGAAAGAAAAGTAAATGCATTTTACTTCGACAAACAATCTTACTTCGTGTTTAATTTTGATTTCGCATCATAAACTCCTAAGCCGTTTACGTTTTTATCTTTCTTGGTTTTGAATGTTTTTTTTTGGATTTCATGGTTGTCATTTTTGTTTCTTGAAAGTACATTCGGACCATTGGGTTTTTTTGTAGTCCTATAATTTGGTTTGCCATGTTATTTTGTTTTTCCTACAACTTATTTTAAACTACATTGCTTTATTCCCACAAAATCTTGAATAATTACATTCATATGTGTAATTATGTAGTTACTTATATGTTTCATTTTACATATCAATTTATTTGACATACCACTTTATTTTACCTAAATGTACTTCTGTATTTACACTATCTCTGTAATTAACTAACTTATTTACCCCTAATCAACTTAAACACATAATAACACGTGAACTGCATTTGACTCCAATATTGAACAAATCACATTTCACAGTCCTTCTTGACTTCGCATTTTTCTTCACGAATCGTCCCTCAATCAATAACCCAATTAACCCAATTGCTAATCGAAAATCAAAACTTATCTGTTTTCATATGCAAACCCAACTGATTGGCTTTTCAAAATCAAATTCGCAACTCCAAATCGTTCGATTATTCGCCCCAATTCCAAAATCAAATAACAGATCCTTCGTATGATTCATTTAATAACCAAGGCTTCTTTTACTTCAAAATGACCATATTGCCCCTAACTTGATAAGTATTTCATATATCGCAATTAACAATTAAGACAAATCAATCAATCAATCAATTTGTATAAGAAAAATGCGAAATTCTTAGCTTTCTTCCCAATTCGCATTCTACTGTAAAATTCACATTCTTCATTCACCCTCTTTCTTCGCATGTTCCAGTCATTTTTTTTTAGTTCATTCGCATTTGAGTTGTTTGTCTCACCAAATACGAAATGAATATTAACCATAATCACCTTCGTATCTTTAACCCTAATCCATACAACCTCATATGCGAAACCCAATTTTGATTTGTATTACCAAATGCGAACATTTTTGCTTTTACACGTGAACTGCATTTGACTCCAATATTGAACAAATCACATTTCACAGTCCTTCTTGACTTCGCATTTTTCTTCACGAATCGTCCCTCAATCAATAACCCAATTAACCCAATTGCTAATCGAAAATCAAAACTTATCTGTTTTCATATGCGAACCCAACTGATTGGCTTTTCAAAATCAAATTCGCAACTCCAAATCGTTCGATTATTCGCCCCAATTCCAAAATCAAATAACAGATCCTTCGTATGATTCATTTAATAACCAAGGCTTCTTTTACTTCAAAATGACCATATTGCCCCTAACTTGATAAGTATTTCATATATCGCAATTAACAATTAAGACAAATCAATCAATCAATCAATTTGTATAAGAAAAATGCGAAATTCTTAGCTTTCTTCCCTGATTCGCATTCTACTGTAAAATTCACATTCTTCATTCACCCTCTTTCTTCGCATGTTCCAGTCATTTTTTTTTTAGTTCATTCGCATTTGAGTTGTTTGTCTCACCAAATACGAAATGAATATTAACCATAATCACCTTCGTATCTTTAACCCCAATCCATACAACCTCATATGCGAAACCCAATTTTGATTTGTATTACCAAATGCGAACATTTTTGCTTTTACACGTGAACTGCATTTGACTCCAATATTGAACAAATCACATTTCACAGTCCTTCTTGACTTCGCATTTTTCTTCACGAATCGTCCCTCAATCAATAACCCAATTAACCTAATTGCTAATCGAAAATCAAAACTTATCTGTTTTCATATGCGAACCCAACTGATTGGCTTTTCAAAATCAAATTCGCAACTCCAAATCATTCGATTATTCGCCCCAATTCCAAAATCAAATAACAGATCCTTCGTATGATTCATTTAATAACCAAGGCTTCTTTTACTTCAAAATGACCATATTGCCCCTAACTTGATAAGTATTTCATATATCGCAATTAACAATTAAGACAAATCAATCAATCAATCAATTTGTATAAGAAAAATGCGAAATTCTTAGCTTTCTTCCCTGATTCGCATTCTACTGTAAAATTCACATTCTTCATTCACCTTCTTTCTTCGCATGTTCCAGTCATTTTTTTTTTAGTTCATTCGCATTTGAGTTGTTTGTCTCACCAAATACGAAATGAATATTAACCATAATCACCTTCGTATCTTTAACCCCAATCCATACAACCTCATATGCGAAACCCATTTTTGATTTGTATTACCAAATGCGAACATTTTTGCTTTTACACGTGAACTGCATTTGACTCCAATATTGAACAAATCACATTTCACAGTCCTTCTTGACTTCGCATTTTTCTTCACGAATCGTCCCTCAATCAATAAACCAACCAATTAACCCAATTGCTAATCCAAAATCAAAACTTATCTGTTTTATATGCGAACCCAACTGATTGGCTTTTCAAAATCAAATTCGCAACTCCAAATCATTCGATTATTCGCCCCAATTCCAAAATCAAATAACAGATCCTTCGTATGATTCATTTAATAACCAAGGCTTCTTTTACTTCAAAATGACCATATTGCCCCTAACTTGATAAGTATTTCATATATCGCAATTAACAATTAAGACAAATCAATCAATCAATCAATTTGTATAAGAAAAATGCGAAATTCTTAGCTTTCTTCCCCAATTCGCATTCTACTGTAAAATTCACATTCTTCATTCACCCTCTTTCTTCGCATGTTCCAGTCATTTTTTTTTAGTTCATTCGCATTTGAGTTGTTTGTCTCACCAAATACGAAATGAATATTAACCATAATCACCTTCGTATCTTTAACCCCAATCCATACAACCTCATATGCGAAACCCAATTTTGATTTGTATTACCAAATGCGAACATTTTTGCTTTTACACGTGAACTGCATTTGACTCCAATATTGAACAAATCACATTTCACAGTCCTTCTTGACTTCGCATTTTTCTTCACGAATCGTCCCTCAATCAATAACCCAATTAACCTAATTGCTAATCGAAAATCAAAACTTATCTGTTTTCATATGCGAACCCAACTGATTGGCTTTTCAAAATCAAATTCGCAACTCCAAATCATTCGATTATTCGCCCCAATTCCAAAATCAAATAACAGATCCTTCGTATGATTCATTTAATAACCAAGGCTTCTTTTACTTCAAAATGACCATATTGCCCCTAACTTGATAAGTATTTCATATATCGCAATTAACAATTAAGACAAATCAATCAATCAATCAATTTGTATAAGAAAAATGCGAAATTCTTAGCTTTCTTCCCCAATTCGCATTCTACTGTAAAATTCACATTCTTCATTCACCCTCTTTCTTCGCATGTTCCAGTCATTTTTTTTTAGTTCATTCGCATTTGAGTTGTTTGTCTCACAAAATACGAAATGAATATTAACCATAATCACCTTCGCATCTTTAACCCCAATCCATACAACCTCATATGCGAAACCCAATTGTAGTCTCATAAATAAAACTTCCAATGTCGTTTATAAGAAAGTTTTTGGGAATTTATAAACAATGCTTTTCTACCATCTTTTATTTACTTTTCTACCATCTTTTATTTACTTTTCTTGTATCGTACTTCATCTATCATATTAATTAATTAATTTTTACAACTTTATTGTATTTGACTTATTCATATTAATGCTAATATCACTATTCATTTTTTCTAAACTTTCATATCTTTTTTGTTACAAATTAAAAACTATAATTATATTTCAATTTATCACCCGTGGATTTCCACGGGTTTAAACCTAGTATATATATATATATATATATATATATATATATATATATATATATATATATATATATATATATATATATATATATATATATATATATATATATATATATATACACACGTGTATCATAGACATATGCATGTCGTTGTTTTATGCATTCTAACAATGTATAGTTATATGGGTCATAACACAACAAAATAGCCACTTAAATATTGTAAAACAAATGATTTCAAATTAAATAGTCAAAATCATGTCTAAACATCACTTAAAACATATTTGTCACCAAAATAATCAAAACTAACACGTTACGTGTGGTCTTGGACATTTTAATGCAATATTTTGGACGTAACAAGTTACAGTCCATTTTTGTGTAGATATAATTTCTTTATTTTACCGTTTTCTCGTTTTGCACTTTCTCTTTTCTTTTCATATTTATGTCCAAAAATATATTTGGAAATAAAAGTTTCTATATTTGTCTTGAAAACAATTCACATGTTTTTTTTATGTACTATAAGTGAAATAAATCGTTACGCAAACAACTTTATTATATTAGCAAGAAGTATTTTATATTGGCCAAAAATTTATTATTAGATAATATTTTTTGAGACATATGTAGTGATTCAGATTTCCAAGTCTTTTTGCACTACAATATCATAATAATTTTTAATAAAAAAATACTTTAGAGCATAAAATGTTTTAAAGACAATATTTCCAAGATACATGTGTATTATGTACATACCATATATCCAAAACATTGAATAGACCCTTTTCCTGATTATGAATATTTTTTCACATTTACAATGTATAAATGGTAGAAGAATATTAAGTAAATCGTGAAAATGAAACTTTCTATTTGTGGTATCATTTCTTAAATAGGAAATAAGTCATAAGAAATGTGAGTGAATATTAAGCGTATAATTTCTACATTAAATGCGAATGAACACAAAATATTTCTTCCTTGAGAATTCATATATTCCCATATATAACTAATAAGTTTCAAAATGGGCAAATACCCCACAACCAACGTTGTAAATTTGTAATGGCATCATACTAAAATGGTATATGATATTATTTAATTTTAATTAATTTACATTTCGAGAATGGCATTTTCCGTTTTTGGTAACCCTATCACATCCTTTTCATTTTCTATTTCCAAACATAGCAACTCTTACCCTTTAAAAGAGATCACTTCAAAGTAGTAGAACTCAT